CCCCACCGATCGCTCCGGAAGTCTCCTCTGTCCCTACAGTTGAGAGAAGGTTCAACCCCTTCCATCGGTCCGAGGTAGCCCACACCCTTATTGGCGCCCACATCTAGTGGGATAAGAAAACATTTATAAAAGGCTTTCGAGTGTTTGAAAAAACCGATCCAGATGGTGCCGTCACACGTATTAGTATTTTAGTCGTGATGATGCACCTCACCTCCATGTCAAGGCCGGAACTCCAATTTGTATAGTCTAGACGGGTTCGTTTGTCAATTCTTGCTTATCCAAGAAGAAGAACGACTTCACGGACCTTGTCGAGCGCGCATTTTTCTTGAGCTTAGCGTGCGCTGCTATCTCCAGCCACAGCATACACACGCACGTCTCAAAATCTCTTGTCAGGCTGGTTGCAATCCTTACCTGACAGGCAGGTTCTGGTAGTGAATGGTGACAACGCGGTTTGCAGCGCGTCCCCCCGCGTCACGTGTGTCATACCGAGGACCGACCGCGCTCGAGTGCGCGGTCTTGGGGGGGAGTAATGGACGCGGCTCTATCTAGCCATTTCGGCGACAGAACGAAGGGATGGCAAATCATTGAGGATGCGGCAATTACTCGGCAATAACCCCAACCCTGAAGGCTGACTCGTCAGTCCTACACAACGGGCCCGCCCGCAAACACGAAAAATGCAGTTGAGAAAAAAAATTCAGACGTTTACGAAAAACGAGAAAAAATGGTTCAGAAACTCAGCTTCATCTCGGCCGCGACTTGACAAACAATGTGCACTGAAAAAGGAATGGACCCGGAAATGGACCCGAAGGGTCAGCAGAGCGTTAACATCAAACAAAAATCAAAGCAATGCTCTGGAGCCCTCCGCTCCCCTCTGCGCGCTATGCGAGGCAAAAATAATAATAGAATCAAACAAGGTTGGAAATATCACAACCACCGACTCCGGGGGTACCAATGCAACTGCAAAAAAGAAAACAACCAAATTGCATTCAAGGCAACGTAAAATGCCCGGTGATCGAGGTCACGTACATCGATCGATGGCCGGGGGACGCAAAACAAAAACAAACTCAAATAATAATATCAAGGTCACGCGACAAGGCACGCTCGCTCGCGGGCATCAGCTGCTGCTGCTGCTGCTGCTGCTGCTGCTTCCGTTCGTGCTGCTGGCATCATTGCCGGTGGCGCTGCTGATCTTCTCCTTCAAGACGAACTCGGTGGCCTTGTTCTCGCTCCGCGTCCCCCGGAAAACCCCATCGGCATCCTTCCACCTCACGTGCTGGCCCCCGTGCCCCGAGATGGTGAACTTCTTCCCGCCCTCCTGCCACCTCAGCTCCAGCATCTCCCACGACCCGTCCGTCTTCCCGCCGACGTCCCAGACCACCCACTCCGCCGGGTAGCACTTCCCCAGGAAGAACAGAGTGTTGCCGCCATGCATGTCGCTGTGCAGGCGGTAGGCGTCCGGGGAACCGGAGAAGGAGAAGGACGAGGAACGTTCCTCTTCTCCTTCTTTGTATTCTTCTTCAGTCTTCTTCTCCGCCGCCGCCGCCGACGGGGATGATGCAGATGGGCCTTCTCGCTCTTCTCGCTCTTGTTGCTCTTCGTGTTGTCCATGCTGATGTTCTTCTTGCACTTCTTGCTCTTGTTGCCCTTCGTCCTCATCTTGATCTTCTTGAGTCTCCGCCGACGACGGCGGGGATGGTTCTTGAGTCTCCGCCGCCGACGGTGGGGATGGGTGTGGGCCTTCAAACGTGAGCACGTAGCCCCCCCAGGCGTAACCCAAAAACTGAACACGAGACGAGAGCAGATGGGTGTACACGGCGCAAGGAACGGCTCGTCAGAAAATATGCAGCCCTCGTTCTGGCGAGCACCACACGACGCGACAGACCAGAGAGGCACTGTCTTCCCCGCCCACATTTCAAAAAGTGGCTGGCTGCGTTAGGAACGAGTGTCATGTATCGTCGGGAGCAGGGAGGACCCAATGGCTATCTCTATTATTTCCCATCCCGATCAAAAGACTACCACCTCCTTGGGGCAAAAATTCGGTGGTCGGTCCGGCCGGCGCGATTTGTACCGTGCATCTGCCGACAAGCGGAAAACGGGACTCAGAGTCATACCTTGTTGCAGCGGCTGGACTTGGTGTTGCTGGCTCGCACGAGCCGCGTCCTGTCCGCTGAGAAGATCTCGTACGATTTCCCAGTCTGCACCATCTCCTTCGTGACCACGCCCTATCCCCGAGAAGAGAGAGATATAGATAGAGAGACAGAGAGGATCAACTAGTTGGTGTTGAGGTGGACAAACGGCGCCGAGGGAGGGACAGCACCTCTTGAGTACTTCTTACCCGTGAATCTGCCGGCATGCTACTGCGCCTTGTGTCCTCTGGTCGGATTTGGAGAGGATGGTGGATGTACTCTTTTTGATATATCACGGGGCAGGGACACGCTCTGCCTGCGAATCGGGTGGAACATCTGTGCCAGTATTTTGCGGGAGTGGTCGGCCCGTACATCCCGAGCAGAGAATGATGGGGGTTCCGATGAGGAAGACAAAACGGAAATACCGTGGACGCACTGCAAGACCCCAGTTCTGGGTGGGGGGGTTGTCGGCATGCATACGTGCATCGTTTGTGTGTCACTTCGGGCGGAAGGGGGTCACTCCCGCCCACCCGCAAGCTCGAGCAACGCTACCCTTTCATGAACTCCGCAAAAAAAACGTTTAGGCCAGCGCCGCCCGCTTGACGCCCGTGCTCCCATGCTCTCACCTCGAAATCATCGTCCCCTTGTGCGCCCACCTCCCGGCTGCGTCGCAACAATGGTGGCGACAGATCGCACGGCAACGGTGTTGGCGGCGGTCCCCGGGGGGAGGGGAAAGGTTGGTAGCGCATGGTATGACAGGGGAGAGAGTCGAGCGCGCACCAGCGCGGGCATTTCGGTGCACGACGGCGGCAGCGTTCTGGATAGGTCGGCCGCACGCGCAAATGTGAAGTCGCGCGCGCCGTACCACAAAGTGCTGCTTTCAAGGAGAGCGAGCATTCTGCCTCTGGCATTTCGATGAGCACTGTCTTCGTTCCTACCACAGCTTGCTCTTTGAGGGTTTCTGGCCTGAAGAACAAGTGGTACTTGACCCTCGCTGCACCACTAGTCTGCATAATAACTAGATGCAAGAAGGATGTTGTACCTCACACGAAAGAAAACCGTTCGCGCAACTGAATAAGAACAATCACCTCGAGTTCCGGGTCTGATTGATAGAATTCGCGGCCATCTTGAGCGCAACTTTAGCCGGGACGGTGGCGAGCTGGGACCCCGGAGCAACCTGGTTGTTGCATACGAAGAAGAAATGTCCGGCAAATAATATTTTGAGCCATCCCGTCGTTTAGTCCGCCCCCCACGGTGTTTGCCATCGGGGTTGGGTTTTCGTCGCTTGGCGACGACGTTGTAAAACAAGTCGCCCCCTCCGGGGTTTGCCATCGGGATTGGGTTTTCGTCGCTTGGCAACGACGTTGTGAAGCAAGCCAATTCACTTCGTGAACTCGGCAACCAGGTTACCGCTTTTTTTTTTTTCCTCCGTTTATTTTTTTT